ACCAAATATCTTTTAATATCTAAATTTAAATAGATAATAGTATCTTTCAAATTTAAAATATTAAACAGATATACACTTCTTTTATTATTCAAAGTTAAACAATTAATATGAAATGTTTGAAGTATATAATTTTCTTTAATATTCAAAGTTTAAAAGATAATAATACCTTTTTAAATTGATATATTCAAAAAGTATTTATCATGCTAATATTTAAATTAAATAATATTTTTTAATTTACAATAATTAAAAAAGACTCTGAATTTAATATAAATATTAAATCTATCAAAGTAATTCACCATTTTTTCTATCAAACTTTAATACTCAAAGTTTAAAATATAATAAATACCTTTTTAAATTGACATATTCAAAAGTTATTTATCCTGCTAATATTCAAAATAAATAATATTATTTTAATTTTCAATAATTAAAAGTACTCTAATATTAATATAAATATTAAATCTATCAAAGTAATTCACCTTTTTTTTCTAACACTTAGACTTTGGTTCTTATCTCAATCTTTTATAATGAATTTAAAACCTATTTGCATGGAATGAAAAAGGTTGTGGAAACTCTTCTTTCCTATGTGTGAATCGCCAATATATTTGGGATTACCACCCAGACATTTATGTGTATGTTGAAACAGGTATTAGTCGAAGTCGTGCGAAACAGGTTATCAAATCTCTTGGTTTTTCGAATTCATATCATGTGGAAGCTATTGTCTTCTCTAAAGAGATTTGGTTATGTTGAAACGATCACCTTCATATAGATGTGTTATCCTATCATTTTCAATCTATTCATTGTAGGGTTTCTCGTCCTCAGATTCAAACTTGTTGTAACTTTCACTTATGCTAGTCCAAAGAATCGCAAGCGCAGGTTTCTCTGGTCTCATTTTCAGAATCTTGCCTCATCCATTTCCAAGCCACGGATTGTCATTGGGGATTTTAATACAACTCTCTATTTAGAAGACGGAAAAAAGGTGGCGACAACTCCATCCCCGATGCTGACTTTCAAAAGACGGTTTACAATTGTGGTCTGGTCCTGGATGATACCGGTTACCATGGCCTCGACTTCACTTGGTATCACGATAACTGCTATGTCCGTCTTGATTATTTCTTGGGTAATACTTCTTGGTTAGAGATTTTTGTCTTCGTGCTTTCAACATCATATCCGTATGAAATCTGATCACCGACTAATTTTATTGTCTTCGCAAAATAGCCCTCCCCATTCAAACGAGAAGTCTTTTCGCTATTTCGTCGGCAAACGTCTTCTTCAAGAGAATTGTGACTCCTCTTTGCATCTTGTTGATACTATTCAGAAATTTTCTGAAGCCGTTACCTCTCGGAATCATAATGTCTTTGGCTCCTTGGGCAAGCAAAAAAAGGTTCTCATGGCAAGGTTGCGTGGTGTTCAAAAGTGCCTCGGCCAAAGGCGCACCCATAGCATGGTAAAACTTGAATTTAAACTCTTACAACAACTTAAAACCATTCTTGATCAGGAGGAACTCATTTGGAGGCAGAAATCTAGGTCCGACTGAATTAATTTTGGTGACTAGAACACCAAATATTTTCACTATTTAGCTAACTCCAAACGAAGAAGTAATAATGTTGTTATACTAAAAGACAATTAGGGAAATTGGTGTTAGGATACAACCCTTTTACGTAAGGAAGCAAAACTTTTTCTCAAAGCTCTTCGAATGCGATAATACTCCTACTACTATTGTTCCTTTATCGAGTATGTTCCCAATTATTCCTACAATTGAACTTTCTTACCTTGCCGATATTCTTTCTCCTACTGAAATCAAGGAAGCTTTGTATTCCATGTCACCTTTGAGCGCTCCAGATATTGATGGTTTGCATGTTTATTTCTATCAGAAAAATTGAAATATTGTGGACCCTTCAGTCTGTTCCATGATTCAATCAGCTTTTGAAAATATGATGCTGGATCATTCTCTGAACCGCACGATTTTAACCCTTATTCCTAAGGTCCCTTGTCAACCTGTCATGCATTCTTTGATTAGTCCGCACCAAACAAGCTTCTCAAAAGGACGCAATATAGCTGAGAATGTCAATATTAATCAGGAAGTGGTTTATTCGATGTACACAAGAAAAGGACATTCGGGATGGATAGTAATTGAAGTTGATCTTCAAAAGGCTTTTGATTGACTTTATTGAAAATACTCTTCATGAGGTGAATTTTCCTCTGAATCTTATTCGACTCATTATGCATTTGTGTTTCGACTTCCTTTCTTTAGGTGAATTGGAATGGTGCTTTGAGTCACTCTTTTACCCCTAGTAGAGGAATTCGCCAAGGCGATCCTCTATCGCCATATATGTTCATTCTTACCATGGAAAGGCTAGCCGTTATATATTATCTTCTTTATCTGACGGTTCTTGGTTGGCCTTCAAGCTTTCTCTTAATGTCACGCCTATCTCTTACCTCTTTTTTTACGGATAATTTGGTGTTATATGCTGAAGCTGACTTAGCTCAAGCTCGTAATATTGATGGAATTCTTCACTAATTTGGTCTTTGTTCGGGACACTCTGTCAATAAATTGAAGACAAAATTACTTCTCGCTAAATACTCCTTCTGCCTTGAAGTTGGACATTTGTGCCATGTTTAGTTTCCAGGAAGTTTCTAACATTGGTTTATATCTTGTAGTCCCCATCCGTCATACGGGTGCCAGCAATAGTAAGTTCGATTTCATTCTTGAGAGAATTCAAAAGAAGCAAGATGGTTGGTCCGCTCGCACCTTGTTTTTTACGGGGGGGGACTCACTTTGGTTAAGTCTAATCTCTTAAGCATCCCCTCTCATTTTATGCAATCCTGTAAGTTTCTTTCTTCTCTTTGTGATGAGATTGAGAAAGTTATTCGTCATTTTTATGGGGTTCCAACTCATCCCAGCATCGCCTTGCTCTTGTTAATTGGGACATATTATGCCAGCTTACAAGTTGTGGTGGTTTGGGTATTCGGAGTATTAAAAACTAGAATTTAGCCTTCCAAATAAAGATTTGTGCTGGCCTCGCGTTCACACCGCATAAACTTTGGACTAAGCTTCATATAGAGAAATACAAGATGCTTTATATTTTCTCAAGGTCGATAACTCACTCAAATGGTTCTACCTTCTAGCGTAGCCTTGCAAATGTTTAGCCCTCTTTCTATGCAAAAGTTGCTCGGTCAATCGGCGATGGTAGTTCGGTCAGCTTTTAGCATGATAATTGGCTCCTGGTCATTGGTCCACTCAGTGCTTGGGCTCGGTTGGAGGCTCTCATTGATCCTGCCCTTAAAGTAGTGGACTTATGTGTTGGTGATGGCTGCTGGAATTGGACCTTGATTTATCAATTGCTCCTCCCGACTGCTCTTCGTCCACTCTATAACGCACACGCCCTTTGCTTGACTCATGGAACCGACCGTTGTTATTGGAGTGCAGACCCAAAATGAAAATTTTCAGTTAAAAGTGCTTACAATGCCATCTCTAAGCAAACTTGGTAGGTTCAAAATCCAAAATGAAAATTAATCTGAAAGTTAGATGCAAATCAGAAATTTTTTGTGGCTTGCTATGCGGGGAAGGCTTTTTTTTAACCAAGAGCAGTGTCGTCGTGGCCTCGAGCATGATCCGAGATGCCAACTCTGTGGCAACACGACTGAATCCATCCTTCACATTTTGTGAGATTGTTCTCATGTTCGTACCCTCTGAAACTCCCTCCTTTCTCATAATCATCTCTCATATTTATTTGATAGTGAGATTCAGGAGTGGCTCATGATGAATATTATAACTCGGTCCGTCCATGCAACCTCCAATGGCCATTGGTGCACCAATATTGCTTGATGATTCCTCGTTCCATCATCCATACGGTTGTCTCCTGGGCAAAACTCTATTCCGTGCCAAGTCGATCCATTGCTGTTGGACAGTCATCCACAGTCACTTGTAGTCCTCATGAATCTCGGTTACAATGGCAGTTACCCCTACAAACTGGATCTGTCTAAACTCGGATGTGTCAGTCCCATTAAATTTGTCCCTTTTGAGTTTTAAAATTACCTCATTCAAAATATCCTCTTAAAAATGTCAGCAAATAATAACTCTTATATTTTCTTTTTTATCCTTGTTCCTTTACACTTATTAGAACGAATCTGTAAAAAAATTTAATCACTTTTTGAGGGATAATTGTATCTTTTCCCTTATTTTATACATGATCAATTTATCTCTTAAAACTCGTGTTTTGTCAACATGAGACACAATTAATGGGACGGAGGGAGTATATCTTTTCCTAGCTTTTTTCTATATTTTTATGTTGCTGCCGTTAATTTCTTGGCCAGTCATCGTTCTAATCACCATGGAGAACTCCTTTTTTGGTCACGTCGTCGTATTATCGGTGATCTTCCCCGATGTGCTATAGCTTCGAAGGGTTTATGATAAAACCCTAAAATGGTTTCGAGGTTGTCACCGACCAGTTGTCTTAGGGCAGTGTTTAGAGCCTAGCAACCAACGAACGAAGCAATAGACCTATTTATAAGGCTGAAGTCCAATTAATAAAAAAATTCTAAATATATATTATTTTATAATCCGTTCTCGAATGGTATTTTTAAAGAAGTTATAAATATCTCAAATACTATTGTATATTTCGAAATCGTAGTGGAAAGGCAAACGTAGGTAGTGGGTAGTAACAAAAAGGAGAAAATGACATCCAGATTTTTATCAGCTTATATAGTACATGCCATATGATTCTGTGGCTAAGAAATTCAGTTCTGGATAAGCCCTTCATGGCTTACTTTTCTTCTCATCATCATCATAACTTATATTGACATTACACCATCTAATATTTTTTAATAATCTCGATGATTATAAGGTATTTACTATTTAAAACTTTTCACTTATTGATAGCGCACATACACTTGACTCGCACACCCTTCAAACCAATAAGATTATGCATGGAGACAAGGGTGGGTTTTAGAAGACGAGATGGAACAAAACTAACCCATGTCCGAACCACAAAAATTTCGAAAATTGGCTTTCATTTGCAGCCACCAAAAGCTTACCCTCACCCAACGCCACAAACACTAACCTTAGCTAACTTACATAACAATATCATCTTCTCCGACCAACAAACTTCTTCCATAGCAAAAGGAAACAAGAAAGAAAATGGCAATGGCAATGGCACTTCGACGACTCTCCTCATCCATCGACAAGCCCCTCCGTCCTTTCTTAAACTCCACTTCTCTCTATTACTTGGTTTCTTCTTCTTCTTCTTCTTCACCATCTTCTTCTAAAATTGCATAATCGATTTTTAATCTTTTTTTTTATATGGTAAGTGCAGTCGTCTTTGCCAAATGAAGCTGTGTACGAGAAGGAGAAACCTGGGGTCACTGTAAAGATCTTTATCCTTTTTAAGTTTCAGCTTATTTATTTTAGATTGAAAGTATAATTATTGGATGTAAAACTTTCTTATTTTCATTCCTATACAGTGGCCAAAGCAACTGAATGCTCCACTTGAAGTCGTTGATCCTGAAATTGCGGACATCATTGAGCTCGAAAAAGCTCGCCAATGGAAGGTCTTTCATATCCAACTTTACTACCATTTCAATTTTGTTGAAGTGCATCAAAAACTGATAAGATATATAGTTTTAAGAGTTTATAATTTAATGGAATGGATGATGTTTGTGTTTAAAGGGATTTGAACTCATTCCATCGGAGAACTTCACGTCGTTGTCGGTGATGCAAGCAGTCGGATCTATCATGACCAACAAGTACAGTGAAGGGTATCCCGGTGCTCGCTACTACGGAGGGAATGAGTATGTTCGTCTTTCTCCGTATTCTCGTTTTGATTCTACCTATATATTGCTTTGAATGTTTGATATTGTAAAGGAGATTATGAAACTGATTAATCTAACTACAAAGATATTGAATGTAGTAGTCTGTTGAAATGAACATTAGTTGAAGTATCTATAAATACAAAGGATATACAGCGGTTGAAAGTTTCGTGTTTTAGGTACATCGACATGGCAGAGACATTGTGCCAGAAGCGTGCTCTTGAAGCATTCAGGTTAGATCCTGCAAAATGGGGAGGTAAGAGATATGCTCTAATTTCATTATGGATAATTTTGTTTGTAATGTCGATGATGCTCGGAGAAACGATTTTCGTTGCTGTTTCGAACCTTATTAGCATTTGTTGACATGGTTTGTATGTTCATCCAACTCTGTTGTATTGCAGTGAATGTGCAGCCCCTGTCTGGTTCTCCATCCAATTTCCAGGTTTACACTGCACTCTTGAAGCCTCATGACAGGATTATGGCACTTGATCTTCCTCATGGTGGCCATCTCTCTCATGGTTATCAGGTACTTAAAAATTCCGTACCTAATCGTGTCAGTTGTTTCTGGTTGCAGCTTGATGCTTACAGTGTTTCCTTTGTGGCTTGTTAGACGGACACCAAAAAGATATCTGCCGTCTCGATATTCTTCGAGACCATGCCGTATCGGTTGAATGAAAGCACTGGCTATATTGACTATGACCAGGTATATTATCAGTTCTTGAACTGGCATAGCTTCTTTTTCAAAATAGAAACTTTCACCATGTGATTGGATTCCACGGTAGAGTATTTTTCTTGACATCCAAGTTTTTAATTGCAGTTGGAGAAGAGTGCAACTCTCTTCAGGCCGAAATTGATAGTTGCTGGTGCTAGCGCTTATGCACGTCTGTATGATTATGCACGCATTCGAAAGGTGACGTTTAGAATTATTTCAAGTCGTCCGGCTAAGATTCCCGATTTGTCATACATCGAAGTTCATGTTCTTGACCACATTCGTCGTCACATATTTTACTTATTCTCCAGGTTTGTGACAAGCAAAAGGCAATAATGTTGGCAGACATGGCACATATCAGTGGCTTGGTCGCAGCCGGTGTCATCCCCTCACCGTTCGAGTATGCTGATGTCGTGACCACCACGACTCACAAATCACTTCGTGGGCCTCGTGGTGCCATGATTTTCTTCAGAAAGGGAGTGAAAGAGGTTAACAAACAAGGGAAAGAGGTTAGCTACTAAACTTTACCTCTTTCAAGATGAAAGTGGCACAAACTATTGTTCTTTTCCTGCAGGTTTTGTATGATTATGAAGACAAAATAAACCAGGCTGTCTTTCCCGGACTTCAAGGTGGTCCGCACAACCACACAATCACCGGTCTAGCAGTTGCACTAAAACAGGCGACAACTCCGGAGTACAAAGCTTACCAAGAGCAAGTTCTGAGTAATTGCGCCAAGTTTGCACAGGTATTCATTTGCATGATGTAGCAGAACTTGTTATGCCAACAAAGCATGGAGAAATCTCTAGTTAGAACGAACCAGTATACGATAATACGAGGATGCACATGTTAGATGATTTTCTCTCTTCTCAAATGCAATTGTTTTAACAACTTGCAGACTCTGGCTGCAAAAGGATATGAACTTGTTTCTGGTGGAACTGAGAACCATCTAGTTTTGGTTAATCTGAAGAACAAGGTAAGAGACCAACAGTTTCGTTCTCCGGTAAAGCTATTTACTAATATGATGCTCTTTTATTGAAAATTTTCTACAGGGAATCGATGGCTCCAGGGTTGAAAAGGTGTTGGAAGCAGTTCATATTGCTGCAAACAAAAACACTGTACCTGGAGACGTGTCTGCTATGGTTCCTGGTGGCATCAGGATGGGTAAAGGCTCTAACTAGTAATGTCGTGCTCGGTTCACGTAAACTTATTCTGACAAATCCGGTTGTATTTCAGGAACCCCGGCTCTTACGTCTAGGGGATTCGCCGAGGAGGATTTTGTCAAGGTGGCTGAATACTTTGATGCTGCTGTGAAGTTGGCTGTTAAAATCAAGGGTGAAACAACAGGTTTTTGCCAGCCTTTATTCCCTCTTATTTTACTCTTTTCTCTGTACTTCTACTTGTCATTCTATGTTGCTTCGTGTCCAAGTAACATGGTATTCTGCTAATACTTGGCTGCATGCTACTGATTTTCGTAAACCAGGGACAAAGTTGAAAGATTTCGTGGCCACACTGCAGTCCGCTCACTTTCAATCCGAGGCTGCAAAACTCCGCCACGATGTTGAAGAGTACGCGAAGCAATTCCCCACCATCGGATTCGAAAAGGGAACCATGAAGTACAAGAACTGAGCGACAAACAGGTGCTCGATCGACTTCACCTCGTCAAGTTCTTAACTACGTTTTCCGTATCTGCAATAAATCATGTCATTCTGGTTTCAGGTATGCATGTAGCAGTATGAGATATCATAGTGGTGGAGGTGGACCAGGAATACAACTTGACTAGCAGGCAAATTTGTGTACAATGTAAATTAAGTTTTCATGGGGTCTAAATGAGAGAACTTTGATTTGAATGTGTATGCATGCATACATATTTACATTTGATGCATCAAACCAGCTTTGAGACATATTAGTTTTCTTGTTACTGTTCATATTATTAAATGACAGAAGTACTCTTTGAATTACTCTGAATTACTCTTATTTGTACAAGACTATTTATATACTTAAATTGAGTTAACAAAGAAAAGGATAATTAATTGTAATCCGTAAGAATCTGGGGTTATTTTTGGTATTATACCTAATTATTTTTGCTGCTTAGTTTGACCCAATTATGTAGAGAAGGCTTGTTGTTGGTGCCAGAGAGTAGACATTGATTAATGGGTCTGGACAAATAGAAATGATCCTACAACGTTAATCTTTGTTTTTTTTTTTCTTAATACATAAATAAGTGTAGTTTCGAAAAACGTTTTAATGTCTAAATTTTTTTCACTAAAAACATGTGCTTGGACGTTAATCACCTTTAAAAAACTTCGTTAAATGACATGTATTACGTCCTGGTAATTTTAAGAATTTATTTAAAAATTAAAATAAAATATTTTTTATTAAAAAACATTAAAAAAAACCCAAACAGCCCGTGCTCTCCTCCCCCTCTCCCCCCATCTTTTTTCCCCTTCCCCTTCCCCTTCCCCCCTTCCCCTTCCCCTTCCCCCTTCCCCCTTCCATAGTAGCCAGCTAGTCGTGACTGTCACCACCACCATCATATTGGCATCGACATCTGATCAAACCTTGTTGCCCTTTCGTCGAAATTTGTCACCGTTTTTTATGGAGTAACGTTCAAATGTTCATTAGATTTTAAGCCACCGTCGTTGTTCTTCGTCAATTTCAGTCGATTCGAACAAAACCCAAGTGGCCGGAGATGACGATGGTGGCCGGAGATGCCGACGACTGTTGGTAATGGAGGTTGAAATGATATATTTTAATTTTTTAGAGTTTTTTATAATTTCAATAAAAAATTTAGGTTTTTATAAATAAATTAAACTTTTTATTTTTTTTCTTTTTTATAAAATATAATATTTTTATTATTAAAAATTAAAAAATAATAACGATATGCATCTAAAAGTGTAAACAAGAAAATGTTAGGCACTTATTTTTAACGAAAAATTCTTTAGGCACCAAATATATTTCGGTAAAGTTTATGCAGTTATTTTTGTATTAAGCCTTGTTTTTTTATACAAGGGCTAAGTACACAAATGGTCCTCGATTATAGGATATTATTTTGTTGATTCTCTTGACTATTAAAAGTTACAAACTGATCCTTCAACTATAAGGTGTTACTTTGTTGAGTCTATCGACTACTAAAAGTTACAAAATAGTCATATGACTATTAATATGTTCATTTAAGCTTAATAAATAAAAAATTAACATGAAATTAACTAGAAATTTCATGAAAATTAAGTCATTTTGGAAAGTTGACAAAGTTTAAGTACAAAATGGCTAATGTTGAAAAAGCTAGTGACTTATATAGTAATAAAGGATTTGTTGAGGTACTTGCTGGAAAATTAAAATGCTGAAATTTTATTGGGCATATTTAAGTCTTGAAATGAAGAAATAATGGGAAGGGTCCATTATGAGTAAAAGGAAAAAGTTAAGATGAATTTTAGAAGAATTAAAAAATAATAGTACTTTTGGGTATTATTATTATGTATAAAATATTAGTAAGAATACTAACATGTATTTTATATTTGTATGTGTGATTATGGATGCTTGCGTAGATCGTGAACAAACTCGAGATACAAGCAAAGAAAAAGGTAAAGAAAAAGTTCAAGAGTAATCGGATATTGACAGTAAGACATAATAGTGAGGCATATCAGGTGATTACATTTATTATATACTTATATGATATGAAGAAGACTTGCGATGAGTTAACCTTAAATGTTTTTATGAAAGCGTGTTTTGACGTTTTTTGAAATATTTTCATAAAGTTATATGAAAATGGTTTTATGAATGATTTTTAGGGTATCAAATGTCCTAAAACAAATGGATGTACTTAATATTATTTAACAGTTATCGATGCTTTAAAATAAACGTTTAACCTGCGATTTGGATTAAATAGCCTATTGTATTTACATTGAGAGTCATAGGTGCATTTTGGCATACTTAAAGTATGATGGTTATCGATCGATTTTGCTTAATTCATTTGTTGCATTTTTGTATTAGTACCTTTGTGTTCTTTCAGCATTATGCATACATTGATGGTGTTCATAATGAGTTTTTGAATTACCATTTCGATACATTAATATAGTGTCTCTGTTATTACAGTACCTATACTTTCGTTTAGCACTTATGTGCAATGTATGTACCTTGCATTCTCATATGTCATATATTGGGCTATGAATGGATATTTTAGAATATATCGATTGATAAGTCTGCTAGGCATACAAAATACTGTTTCAGAGGTTATTTTTTGGAAACGTGGCTTATCAAGTCAGTTTTATACGTTAATATATTTTATACAATTAAACTCGTATTTTGATATTTTTTGAAATACTTAAGTTTTAATATGTCTCATTTATTTTATTATACCTCACTAAGTGAATACTTAGCGTGTGATTATTTCACGAGTAGGTAATATGACATCTCTATATGTTTAATTGATATTACTAGTTGACATATATTAGTTATATTATGATGCTATGGTAGGAATTTGATATATATGGTTTGTAGTATTATAACATAATCAAACTTAAACTACTATATGATACACTTAAACTCTATTTTACATATTAGTAGTCAATGGGCATATTAAATATTATATTATTAAACTAATTTATTTAAAGAAACAAAATTTTATTGGTTTTTAAAGTATGAAAAAGATTTAAAAATCATGTGACATTTGTGACTCATATACGGGGATGTATACGGGAATATGTGTTACATTTATTGGTATCAGAACTGCAGGTTTAGCCGATTCTCGGCAGAAACCAAATGTATGTTATGTGAAAAGTGTATATATGCTATTAGGACGTCAAAGTTACTGATATGGTATTAATATGATGTGATTGATGTAACTTTTATTAATCTTAGTTGTTATTAATATGTGTCATATTAGATGTCAGAATATGAGAATTCGCGGAGAGCGAGACATTAGGAAGTCCGGGAAATGACTGATAGTGGAAGTAATGAAATCAATAGTGAACGTCCCGCTCAGTCTAGACATGATAGTACACCGACATATCGGGGAGTGCCAATGCAAGATCATGGAGCATTTATGAAGGCTCTTAATGCGATCTTAGCTCAATATCAACCTTCCCCTGTTCTGCCAGCTCCTTGAATATCAATTCCAAAAGTATTGAGAAGTCTGGGAGCACCCGAGTTATATGGAGAAGAAGATGAAGGTCTGATTAATGCGGACTTATGGCTAAATGACATCAAAGTGATATTAGATAATCTTCACTGCTCAGACTCTGAGAGACTAGATAGGGTTATACCACTACTGTGAGGATCAGCACGAGTATGGTGGATAAACACCATAATGTATGAGCCACATAAAAGAGTGACTTGGTAATTCTTTCAGGATGAATTCAAGAACAAGTACACTAGTGAACAATTCATGCGAGCGATGTTGCTGAAATTCCTCAATCTGAAGAAAGGTGATCTGGCAATTTATGATTAATAGTCCGAATACAAAAAGTTAAGCCACTTTGTTCTAGAAACGGTTCCCAATGACAAGGCTCGACGTGATTGATTGATGGAGAGTTTGAGGCCTAAGATAAAAGAGATAATTTTGGATTTGAACTTTCCTACCCTGCAGAAGGTGAAAAACTGAGGAAAGGAAATTGAAAGGGCTCAAGATGAGACACTCGCTTTAGATAAAAGCATAAAGACAATGAAAAGATCAAGAGCATCCTCAATTTCTTATCATAAGAGGCAAAGGTTCAGGTTCCCGATACAATAATAGATATGGTTCTACTGCAGTTTCACATAAAGATAAACAATCTCAGTCATTTACTGCTAGTTCGGGCATAGCACCCAATGATCGACCTTCGCCATGCCAGACGTGTGGCAAGTTCCATCGTGAAGTATGCAAAGCTTCCAGTGGCGTCTATTTCAATTGTGATAACATTGGCCACTTTGCTAGAGATTGTCCTATAAAGTCTGGGGATAAAACCAACTCAGACTGAGAGACTAGTAGAAACTACTCAGAGAGACATAGGAAGAGCTAGAACCGGAGGACCATATAAGTCAACTCAACGACCGGAGACTCGGGGAATAGCCATAATCTATAACATCAAGACTAATAAGGATCGAGATGACCCACATATTATAACATGTACGTTTCATTTATTTGTTGAATATGTATTGGTTTTGGTTGATCCTAGTTCTACGTACTCTTATATCAGTACAAAGCTTGTTAGAGACAGAGGTATTCTATTAGAACCTTTCTCAAGTGACATGATAGCGATAAACCCTTTGGGTCATAGTGCTCGAGTGTCACGTATATATAGAAAATGCCCCATTAAGATTCAAGGGGTTATGTTCCCAGCGAATCTGATTTGAGCATGGATTGGTTGTATCCTCATTATGGATGGGTAGATTATCGCAAGAAGTGATTATTTCTTAAAGATGTGAAGGGATCAGAGATTATTATAATAGGTGAAAAAGCGATATCACTGCCTAATGTGATATCAGTAGTGACTGTGAAGAAAATGATGTTAGAAGGATTTACAACTTTTATAGTTAATGTGATAGATACTCAAATATTTGTAGTGAGGTTGGGTAATATTCCAACAGTTCGATAATTTCCATATGTTTTCTCAGATGAATTACATGGTTTACCTTCATATCGCGAGGTAGAATTCAAGATTGATGTTTATCCAGGTAATGAGCTTGTCTCTATGGCTCCATATCGAATGGATCCAACCAAGTTAAAAGAATTAAAGGCTCATTTGTAATAGTTACTCAATCGTGGTTTTATTAGACATAGTGTTTTACCTTGGGGAGCACATGTGCTTTTTGTGAGAAAGAAAGATGGATCGATGCGATTATTCATAGATTACCGAAAGTGAACAAAGTGA